CCCCGGGCGCGTACCGAGACGCGCCAATTTTGGTAAACTCGAGCTATTTGTCCCTTCTCAGGGAAATCGACACTGCCGCTGGTGTCGAGAAAAAATTCCGCACAGGCGTCCCCATCGAAACATGCTTTTGGCAGCAACTAGATAATTCATCTATTCAAGTACTCTTCTGGTACTGTATTTTTGAAAGTGCCGTTTTTGATTTGTTCCAGATTTTGAGAAAAAATTCGGGTGCGTTTCCAGGAATTAATTCGTTTTTGTGGAAAAATCACAGAAATCGCTGCACATTTTTTTGTGAGTCCTTGTGAGTAAGCAAATTATGAAGAGGAAATCGGCAGTGCCAAATTTTCTTCTCCATGATAAAGGCTCGAGAAATACTGAATTTATGCTAGTCTGAGCACCTTTTTTTGAATTTTAGAAAACTAAAATAACTAGGGGCGTTGCTTATATTTTCAGGTTTATACAATTTCCTTAGAAATGCGTCAGTTCAACAAATGAAAAACGATTAATGACCGCAAATAATAGACCCATTTTTAATTAAGAAATTGCAAAAAAAAAGCCCGGAGATCTCACAACTTCTGATTTTCAGTAACCAAAAAACTGGAATGTTTGGCTTCAATGCAGAAAAAAATCTTTTTCGGAGGAATTCCTCGCAAAAATTTGGCGATTGTCTTACTTCAAGGTGTCTGGTACATTAAAATGGTATTTGAGAAGCCTATATTTTCTTTCAGTTGTTCAATTCAGTCTCACTGCCAATGTATTTGATGTGAATTTAATATATTGGCCCCTTGAAGATCTCAAAGATTTTCATGATCGCAAGTCATTTTGTCCCCAGAAAAAAAAAAGTATGAACAAGAAAATGAGTCACGAGAAGCAGTGGCAAAATTCAGATGATTCACTATCTGATTTTCCACTTATATTTTTGTATCCTCTGCGCAGAATAATCGCGTAAATTTCAAATACAGTGGAATTTTGTAGTCAGGTGATAAACGCTTCATCTCATCAATTCGTTAATAATTAACCATTCCCACCTCATTCAATCGTCGAGTTGAATCATTTTTCGCGGCAATTCGTTTTATTTCTTGACGGAATTGCTCAATGTCCTCCGACGCGTGAAAAATGGCGTCGCGCGGAAGTAAATGCAAAAAAAA